AAAAAAAAAAAAAAAAAAGAAATGTTATCATATTATGAGATTAGTGTTTCGTAGGTGGGAGGGAGTGATCGAATCATTATTTATCAAGATTTTAATCTCGATAAAATGGGAATAATATAATCGCAAAAGCTTGAACTTTTCATACGTTTCATGCTTTCAGAGTAACGGAAATCGGCACGTAAACGTATTGCGAAAGTGTGGCGAAGACGGTGCAAGAGGAGGCTGCAAACTTAAGCCATGAGATATTGTCCGCTTTACTGTACGTTGACAATATAATAGAAATTATGAATTGTACAAACATGTAATTCACCTGTTTGATCATCAAAGTACGAATTCGTTATTAATTTTCTTTCACTTCCTCAAGGTTCACCTCAGTAGGCACCCTGTTTGTCTATTCTTTCTCTCGACTTTGATCATTATAATATGATGCGAGTCGAATGTGAGCACGAAGACAAATGAGAACTCCTATGGACGGGCCCCCCCCGCCAACGTGTTGCAATCTTATTTCAAAAAGAAAAACAAAAAAAAAAAAAAAAAAAAAAAAAAAAAAAAAAAAAGAAACTACGCATCGTTATAAATAATACTTCATTTTCAGGGGTTGTCTTTCCGAATCGTGTCTTTCGAGCCGTTTTATCTCGAGGGATCAAAGGTGACTCGTGCAACCGTCGTGTTTATTAAAAATATTATAATTTTGAATTTCCCGCGGGAATTTCACGAGGGACGCTTCTCGTCTCTTCGATTCGCTTCGAGGCCTGCCAAGACCACGCCACTTGGCCAGACATTGTTTCTCGACCGCGCTTTCCTTTCGTTCTCAGATTCGGCAGGACAATCTGATCACAGAATTGGACATGTAGAAGTTCTGTTATTTATTGAGTGTCACATTATCAACTTGTTCCGAATAAAGACGTTCTGTGGAAAGTCCGAAAGATTGGGCATAGTCTGCCGTTCTGGGAACTCGATAACTGATAAATTCATTTTCGTACGTCGTTCTATTTGCATCGTATCGATCTTTCATATCATCTTCCTTCATTTTTCAACGTTCGCCGCCCCGTCTTTACCTTTCTTCTCTAAATCTAATCTTGTTTATCTTTTTTTTCTACTCGGCAAAAAAAGAAAAGTTTTTGGAAAGATGAAAGGATTTTCTCCCAGAATGGCGGGCGACAGCCACATATTGTTTCAACCAATCACAGCTCTGACTGCTGTTGGACCTTATCGGTCCCTTGCCTGAAGGCAGGCGATTGTTTGGACCTACCGTCCTAAAGTCGAGGTAGTTGTTGTATTCCCAATTGTACGCTCGATCTTTGTATTGTACGTTCGTGAACGCGTTTGCCTTAATTTTTTCTTTTTTTTTTTTTTTTTTTTTTTCCACACCATAATCGCGTATCTTTCAAAACGTTTGGAAGAATACTCGAGTTGAAAATCGAAATAAATTTTAGTTCTTAAAAAAAAAAAAAAAAAAAAAAAAAAAAAGAAGCAATTGGTAAGTTAGAAGCAAAATAGATTGGGAAATATCATGACCTTGGCTGCGTGGACGCGTGGCTGGACCGAGAAACAATATCAATCGTAATCGATAATTGAGTCGTGGGTAAATCGTGTTAACTGATTCGATCGTTCGAAATGTTGGAACGAGAACGATTTCTATATATATATATATATATATTTTCACAATTGAGTTTCGATTATTTATATTATTATGTTATATACATATGTACAGTTATATTTTTCTCTCTTTTTCTCTCTCTCTTTTTCTTTCTCTTTCTCTCTCTCTCTTTCTCTCTCTCGTTCGACAATTCGATCGTTCGTAGAATGCTTAGCTGGCTCTGTGTGTATATCGATACATCTGTATCTTACGTTGCGCAAAAATCCTTCATTATCCTGTTCCTTTTTTATGCTAATAATGTCTTTCCATTTGGTGACAGCGGATGCACGATTCGCTCGTGGGGATCGCTTTGCTCGAAGAACCGGTAACACGGTGGCTCTTTATCATTCTAATAATCTTTAATATAACAGCGGCTCTAAGCACAGGAAATTAAGTGCTACCTTCAAAATACGATACAAAATATTATTCGCAATTTCCCCCTCCCTTTATTTATTTATTTATTTATTTATTTATTTATTTTTCTTCTTTCTTCTTAGTAATATTATCATCGTCAGATCTTATCTTTTTTTCATATCGATTTCGATGGACGGGCGATCGCGTCTCTTTACGCGAAATTCGATCGAACGGAATGAAAACGATTTTGGAAAAATTCGAATACGGATATATTTTCCAT